CATTCAATTATTTATTTATTCATTTATTCATTATTTATTTATTCAATTAGTCATTTTTGAATTTATCCAATTATTCATTTATTCAGTTATTCAGTTATCCAGTTATTCATCTATTTATTTATTTATCTATATTTTTGTGTGTATTAAAGTCTATACGCAATACCTATCCTGGTGCTATGGCCATCAAAGCTGAATGGCTTAAGAGAAAGCCCTGCCCGAGACTGCGTAAGTGCGTAAGCAAGTCTGGTTGAGTTGATGAGAGGCAAGCTTGTAAGCGTGTAAGTCGAGTTACGAAACCACTTGTCCCAACCTCTCCGTCGACGGTGATTAACATTTAAGCCCACAAGGAAAGGCATGAGTGGGGCTGCGAAATCTCGTACGTCTGGTTGGGTTATGCGAGTATGAGACAAGCTGGAGCCATCACTGAGCGGACAAGTTGAGCCTTCTTCTTCTGGATGGCTCTCTCTCTCTCTCGCTCAATCTATCAATCGAGCATTCGTGGTTCGACTTAACTTGTTGCCACCGTTACTCGCATTCACCGCGTCATCTGATATGTCAATTCGAACGCCTCTCGTATCCTTCTTTCAGCAGCACACGTGGCACCAGCAGCAAACCTTCTCGTTTGACAAGATTCCTTTTCGTGTCCAGTCTCTGCTCTGCGTGTTCCGTCCCTTCTGACCCTTTGACTTAACCCCCTTTACCACCATTCTTCTGGTCCCTGAGTCTTTGTTGAATAGTTAAGCATGTCTCACCAACACAACGCCGACCACAAGAGCACACAATCGGCAATATTCATCTTGTAAAGTTGGCAAACTATGCATCTCCTCTGCATGCACTTTTTATACAAAATGAAAGTCTTGCCGACGCCATAATCGACAAAAAGAGCATAAACTGCGAGTTGGGCGAAGACTAGCTTGTTTTGAATGCCAGCGACTAGCAGCCGCGGCCAAGGAAAGGATTCGAAACATCTGCGAGATACTCAAGACGCTGGTTCGAATCCCGTCGAGGGTGTGTAATGAGATCTCGGCGGGGTGGATATCCCAGTTGGCTCCAGCCGAGAGATGTGGCAAGACCGAACAATCCATCCTAAAATCAATTTCAACGATCTTGTTTGACCAAGTTCTTATTCAACCAAAGGTTGGTGGAGGGTCGGATTTCACTTGTCTCATCGGCGATTTGACGGCCACGGTTGAGCTGCTCTGCTACAAACTCGACCAATTGTCTGTGAATCTTCCAAATGGACGGTCCAATGCTGAAAGGGAAGATGACGACACGTCCTTTGAGGTGGCCCTGCTGCGACAATCCAGTTTGAAAAACAAAGTCGGACCGATTCAAGCCATCCTTCAGTGGCCACCCTCCGCAAAGAGAAGAAGGAGTAGGAGGAGCAGGAGCAGGAGCAGGAGGAGCAGGAGGAGGAGGAGGAGGAGGAGGAGCAGGAGAAGGAGGAGCAGGA